ATGAACATGTTTATCAACATTTAAGTAATAATCCAATCATCAACTTCCATGTCATTTAATTTACAAAATTTGGTCTATAAATTTAGTCTCTCTAGCATTACTCTTTAGAACGGAAAAGAACTTGTGGGACTAGTAAATGATTTCCTACATATATTTGCAATCTCAAATGTACTCCTGTTTGGCCCTGAAATAACAACTTGGGCCGAGATGAGCTGACCCGAGGACTACAGTTCTCACCCCAGTATGTGTCCTTTAAGCCGGTAAGCTTTTGGCCCATAAATAGGATCGACTGAGTTCTTATGCAGAAAGATCTGTGAATAGATGAAGCGTGGGTGGTTCGGTCGAGTCCTATATGAATTGATTGCTAGAGATCGAATTGATCCATGGATAAATGTGAATTATCCTAAGGATTAGAATACCTGCATATTCATATAAAGATGAATGAATCCCGTAATAGGACTAGGTTCAGATTCATGACGAGAATCAAAGAAGCCGAGGCTGGATGAAGATGAGGTTTCGACTAAGAGAGGATAAAGAGATTTGAGCGAATGCCGAGCCAACACAATCTCATTAGGACTATACCTCGACAAGCTTGTTTATCACAGATGCCTCACTTGTAGAGAGAAGAAACTCTGCAACCTTAAAGTCCCCTGCAATAAACAACTCAAATGCTCTACGCGAAAGCCCTCGCTATAGGAAACCCTTCTCACATTTTCTGAGAAAAATACTAACTATCATAACCCCTTCCGCCAACACATCTTCAGTTTAGACTAACTAGCGATACCTTCAGTTTGGATAAGTGAACAACACTAGAGTCGTAGAACCAAGCAATTAGGAGCACCTTCAGTTTGAATAAGTGAACAACACTGCTTTTGGTTGGTTGGTTATCTATCCAAGTCTAGGCCAATGAAGAGTATCCAACTTTTTCACCGAAGAGGTCACTTCATCAGCTTCTTAGCGAAGTGAAGTGTTTTATGATTGGTTACTCTCTGGTGCATCTTGCAATTCGGCATTCAGACAGCCGAACTACTTTCATCATCAAAAAGCTCTCCTTTGAGTACCTATGTCCCTACAGCCTGATATCGATTCGGTGTACCTATATTCTCACAAATATAGTCGAGGCAGCCGAACCTAGTGCATGAGATCCTGAACTTCGCAGTGATCTAGGCAACCTTTTCTTCACGTTCTAGAACCCAAAGCTAAGACATGTTCCTTCTTCGGATGTAATCACTTGAGTACAGAAGTCAGCAATGCATTTGACACTACCGCCACCACATTTACTCTACTCGACCTTCCGAGCTTGATTGCGAGTTGGCACGCTCTCATTCACAAGAAAGACGTACTTAGCTCATAATTACTCGGTATCCATGACACGTAGGCATTGTAATTTTTAGGGTCAACAACTCCAACAACAAAAAAAAGATTCCCGCACTTTTTTTCTTCTTTCTAAACACTCGTGTTTATTTATAGTAAAAAGTCCTACCTCGTAGCTAATAGTAAAATAATGGATTGTAACCAATTTATGGGCATTTATTTGGAAATTGAGAAAATTAAAACATCAATCTCTGAATTTCGATTCAATTGAATCTTTAGTCCCTGAATTTGTTACAATCTGAAGCAATGATCAGTTTGTCCAAAACAAGGGCTTTCAAGGGGAAGTAAGAAATAGAAATTCTAACCAAGTTATTCAAAAAGATCATCATATATTTGAGCAACATGAGCAATAATACTATACTAAGCCTAAAACTCTTAGATACATGATGATCCTTTTGTTCATTGCTCACATTATGCCGAGTTTAAGAATCAATACTCACAAATCCTTAATTCAAATATGCCAATATTAAAGAAGAAATACTCCAAACTTCTCTTTAAAAATTATATTAAGCCCAAAGCAAGTATATATGATGAGGAAGCAAGGTAGACGTTTTTCCATCTCATTACTTAACAAAACTAAGTGGACCAGTTGTTTGCTACACAAATGGCTTGTATCCTTTTTTAGCCAAACTTTTGACTAACACATTATCTTTCACTATGTTTTGGAAAGCCTCCACCAAATTATGCATTCACAGGCCGAGATTATATTCTATGCTGCCCTCATTTTCGAAGGCCTTTCCTTAATTTAAAAATAAAAAACAAAAGACAGCATCCCATTTTCTTTAACCCAACTTAAGACAGCATCCACTTTCCTTAATTAAAAACAAAAAAACAAAAGACAGCAAACTTTAGACAGTTGCCCAAAAGAACAAAATTATGGGTACAAATATCATAACTAGAACCGTTCAATCGTTTATTATGATGATATCATGTGACCCTGTAAATAACATAATTAGAATCATCACTATATAAATGTCATACCTGAAGCTATTCATTCTCTTCATAATTCTCCAAAAATCATCTCTAGAAAAATTCATGTGATACAGAGACCAATTAAATAAACTGTCGGTTCGTCACGAGGATGCTACTTATAACTATAACCGAGATTTTTTTTTAACACATATAGAAAGTTAAACAGACTCCAAATCGAATAAATTTCTAAAAATGGTCTCGATGATGATAAAGAGAATAATAAATTGTTCTAATTACAATGTTTATACAACGAAGTCACACAACATTAATAAGGAAGGAAGACTTTTGCCGTTGCTGTAAATTTGAGTTATTTTTCCATCGAATGGTAGGTGTCGTGTAAATTCTCCAAAATGTTGTTATGCTGCTTCCTTACGTATGTGGTAAACCCACTAAGCACTTGAATGATAGCAACTTGAAAGCCCCTTGAAACCAATTAGGAGTGTGGTTTGGCAACACACACAAGTAATATGCATAATTAATGAGTATTATGGCACTAAACAACGAACTTTTTTATTAGGACTTGACCTAATCCTCCATTCAAATATGCCATAATTTCGTTATAGAATATTCTTTAGGATACGATTATGTTGCTGCATTTTTAGTTCGTTGTCATCTATTTTTTTTGTCTTTTCTAACCAAATTTCGGGCCCACAGCTTGGCAGCTTGATGTGCACAAATTTCATTCGTTGTTTTTATTTGATTTATTAAACTTGGAGATAAACAAAAAACGTAAAAATGATCTTTCTTTTTTAATTTGTGTCACATCAGTTATTGAAAGTAGGAGATGGAGTGATGTAGTATGTGGGCTATATGTTGCAGTGTAACATTTAATTAAAGATGGTGACGGTGGAGAAATTTTGTTATGCAATGGAACATGAAGTGATATGCGACTTGTCATTATAAAAGTGGATGAAATTTTATTTTTTAAGGGTTTCTACATTTGTATAATGATATTTAATATATCATATATGTCTGAGACGTTCTGAAAAATATCTCGCAAAGATGGCTTCATATGAAATACGTGAAATAATTAGAAGAATGTATGCATGAATGACCAGCGTGCTGGATAGGAGCTTTAGATTTGATTTATTCTTTTTAGCCACAACAAAACTCTATCATATAAATTTATGAATAGGGGTGGGCGCCCTTTGGCTTAGAATTCAAGCAATAACAACATAGTATTATATTACAGTTTGATTTTCTCATGAGCCCGTAGAATTTTCCATTAAAGTAATGCATGGCGTAAACCAGCGTGCTCAAAATTCCAAACAACAAAAAGCAAAAGAAAAAAAAGGATGTGTCGGGAAGTCTGGGTTCCCAGACCCCCATCTGGTTCATATCCTTTCCATCGACGGCCTTCCATGTCCTCACTAACGCTTTCTGGGGTTTTAGTCCTTTGGGTGGTGAGTCGAGCTTCGCTCTTGGTCTTCATTATCCAACCTTAGGACCTTGTTCTCTTTGTAGGAGAGTCTTAATTTGCTGTTGGGTTTCTCAAGTCTTGTTTGGGGGCCTTGGGGCCCCTGTCCTTGTTGTATCTTTTTCAATCAAATGGTCTCTGTTCCAAAATTAAAAAAAAATTAAAAAAAAAAAGGCAAAGGAAAAGTCGGTTTTAATTTAATGCTTGATCTTAATATCTAGTGCACCAATCATTCCTTCATTCATAAATCATCTTTGGGACTAAAGTTCATCCATGGAATTTTTTTTTTTCTCAATAAATATTTTTCCCACCATTACATGAGCAAACTTAGCAATTGTTAGCGAGAGATTTTTCAGCTTGTTTGGAACATGAAACAAAACATCACATATCATAATACAATTAGAGGAGCACTTGTAAGAAAAAAAAATTACCTTGAATTACATAATGACATATGATATTCCGTCTCGTATCCGGAGCATACTGAAAAATCTCTTCATCCTTAGCAAATGCTCATAAAACTTGTGGTTAAAAATATTAACATCACCACCACCAACCTCCTTTGGCTTTGGAATGGTTGATTAATTATGTAAAAATTACATGGTATCCCAATTTTTAATAATTTTTGTGGCATCTCATATTCCATCCTAGATTTCATATTTAACACATTTGCAAGCCTCCACAACATTGTAAGCTTTCAAAGCTACTTTTTCAAGTGCTCCATTTTGCCCAAAAATGGCTCTTTTTCAATGCGGACACGTTATCAAACTTTTCCAACCTCAACATATTCTCCAAAATTTGACCTTAAAGCATTTCGTTTCCATAATCCGATGCTTTTTAAAAGAAAACTTTACAATAATACTGTATCATTGAATTATAAATAAACTCGTTCGATGTAAATTCTTCTTCTTTAACTAAACATCCCATCCGTTTGTTTCTCGAGACAATGCACCATAGAGGATGAGCCTAAACTGCTTAACCTAAGGAACAGAGTTGTTGATAACGGTAATTCAACAGATGCTTACAGACTGGATTATCGGATGACACTGGAGAAAAAAAAAACAAAACATCCACTACACCACAAGTTAAAACTGTCGCGTCCAAGTTTTGAGGACGCAAAACGGAGGGCAATTTCGTCATTTGACCTGGCGACCAAAGAAAGAAATGAAGGATTTTATTAAACACCGCGACCATAGCCGAGGTCTATTCTTCTGCTCTTCTTCCACCATGTGAACCCCTGAAAGCCAGCTCTTCCTCTCTGATCCCTGTCTCCAACTCCACACAACCCATAATTTGTTCTTTATTTTTATTTTGTTATTTTGAATTTTTATTCCAATTATTCTCAAAGGTTTGAACTTTTCCCTTCATTTTTTTATTTTTCTTCGAGGTCCAATTCCAAAAACGATACGCCAACAAACCCACTGTAATCTCCCCATCCCATCATTATTCCTTCGTTTCCACTTCATCACCGGACCAAGAACCGAAAGCCCTCTCCCAACCACTAAAACCCTTCCATTTACTCACCATTTTTTCACATCAAAGGTTCCATCTTCTCTGGGTGTTTTAATGCGATGGTGGAGCACCAGCAGCAGCAGAAGATCAAGAGAGCCCCAAGAGCCAACGGCTTCTATGTCAGGATGAAGCTCCTGCCCACCACCAAATATGGCGGAAGATTAGTCCCCCAATTGGAAAAAAAGAGCTTCTTTTACAGATATTGTAAATGGGTCCTGTGGCTTTCTCTCTCCCTCTACTTCTTCAGCTCCTTCCTCATCAGCAATCACAACGAACAACAAAACAAACCCACCACCTCCCTCTCCACAACCCATTTCTCCACCATCGCCTCCCGCGCTCTCTTCGAATCCGCCGCCATTAACAACACAACACAACAAGGTCCGTGTAACAAAACCCATGTTTTAGTTTTTCCAATTTTTTTATAAATTTGACGAATTTGTAGTTTCTGATGTGTTCGTGCTATTATTTCAGGGGCATTGTTCGACGGAATGAAGATTTACGTTTACGATTTGCCACCGAAATACAACACGGATTGGCTCAAAAACGAGCGGTGCAGCACCCACCTGTTCGCCTCCGAGGTAGCCATTCACCGGGCCCTGCTCACCAGCGACGCGTTGAGCGTTGACCCCTACGAAGCCGACTTCTTCTTCGTCCCCGTCTACGTGTCCTGCAACTTCAGCACCATCAATGGCTTCCCGGCGATAGGCCACGCCCGCTCCCTCATTGCCTCCGCCATTGACTACGTCCGGGTGGAATACCCGTTCTGGGATCGGTCCCACGGCGCCGATCACGTCTTCGTCGCCGCCCACGACTTCGGCTCCTGCTTCCACACCATGGTAATTAATTTCGGAGCCTCCCAAAAAATAAAAAGGAGAATTCAAAAAACGTTTTTGTTTTTGTTTTCTTCTGGTTTCTGGATTTTTGACAACGTTGTCTGGCTTCGCGTTTTCTCAGGAGGACGTGGCGATTTCGGATGGGATACCGGGATTTTTGAAGAACTCGATCTTGTTGCAGACGTTTGGCGTGAAGTATCACCACCCGTGTCAAGAGGTGGAGAACGTGGTCATTCCGCCGTACGTCTCGCCGGAAAAAGTACGGGCGACGCTGGAGAAGTCTCCGATCACCGGCCGGAGGGACATCTTCGCCTTTTTCCGGGGAAAGATGGAGGTCCACCCCAAGAACATCAGCGGCCGATTCTACAGCAAGTAATAATTGTTTAATAATTACAAAAGTAAATCGACTAATCAGAGCATTAATCATTAGTTTTTCTCTTAAATTTACTGATTTGCCCTTGGTTTTGTTTAAGGCGGGTGAGGACGGAGCTGTGGCGGAAGTATAACGGCGACCGGCGGTTTTACCTGCAGAGGCACCGGTTTGCCGGTTACCAATCGGAGATCGCACGGTCGAAGTTTTGTCTGTGTCCTCTGGGGTGGGCCCCGTGGAGTCCCAGGCTGGTTGAATCAGTCGCTTTGGGCTGCGTGCCGGTGATCATAGCCGACGGGATTCGGTTGCCGTTCGACGACGTCGTTCCGTGGGCGGAGATATCGGTGAACGTCGCGGAGAAGGACGTTGGGAAGCTGGCGGAAATACTCGAACACGTGGCGGCGACCAACTTGACTTCCATTCAAAAAAACCTGCGGGACCCGCGTGTTCGGGGGGCCCTAATGTTCAGTGACCGGGTTCATGAAGGCGACGCCACGTGGAACGTTCTTTCTGCTTTGACTGCCAAGCTGGCCAGGTCCCACAGGAGGTCGAGGGTTTCGAGCCAATGACACAACGACGCGTGGACTATTGGAATTTAGAGATGGAGAAATAGTCTGCCGAAGGATACGCTCGGCATGTTTTGTAGTGGAGAACAGAGAGAAATATTTTTATAACTGGCGAGGTGGGACCCACGAATCTTACAGGCGAGGTGGTGGTGGTGGAGGAGGAGTTAGAGGATAATTAAGTTTTTAAAATAGTACAAGAAACAGTAGTGTATAAAGTCCAATTTTTAAATAGTGAAATGTACATAAAACACGAATTTTTTTAAATTTTTTTATTTTTAGTGGTTTAATCTTATGATATTTATGGTGGATTGCAAACATAGAGATGATCCAATCATAATTAAGATAACATATTGCGTGTTATTATTATTTTTTCACTATGTAGTTAATTATACGAATTAAATTAAGCCTCAATAGTAGGCTCGGAAACCCAACATCCCCTTCCATAGAAAAAAAAAAAGATAAGAACAGTTGGATGCAGATGGGCTTATACAGTCAAACTAAAGTATCAATTGAACGGTACATAGTCAGGTTAATAATGAAATCATACTCACAAAATATGAAATTGATTACCATGAAACATTTGCTTTAGTTGCTAAAATTAATGCTATTAGAGTTCTTATATCTCATGCTGCAAATTTGGATTGATCGCTCTATTAAATTGATGTGAATAATGCATTTTTGCATGGAGACCTGATAGAAGAAGTTTATATGGATCTCACCAGGATGTAATATGCCTTCTAAGAATCAAGTGTGCAAACTAAACCAGTCCTCTTTTAAGGCCTAAAATAATCTCCTCGAGCATCATTTGGCAGATTCACCAAGTTAAGGAAGGCGTTTTGGTATAGACAAAGCAATTTTGACTATACATTATTCTTGAATTGTAAGAAAGGTAAAATCATTGCATTGGTTGTTTATGTAAATGACATGATGATGACAATGGATGATCCTCAAGAAAGAGCTTTACTACAAACATACTTGTCCCAAGTGTTTGAGATGAAAGCCCCTGGTCCCCTAAAGTATTTCTTGGGGATCGAAGTGTTCAGATCGCCGAAAGTATCTTCCTATCTCAATACGTGATGGAATTGCTAATTAAGATTGGAATGCTTGCTTGGAACTTGCTGATACACTTTTAGAGATGAATCACAAGTTGTGTGAGCAAGAATATCAAACAACCACCAAGGACTGGTACCACCGCCTTGTTGGAAGGTTAATATATTTGGCACATACCAGACGGGATATTGCATATATATGCAGTAAGTGTAGATAGTCGGTTCATGCATGCTCTTAGTATTGAGCATTGTAGTGCGTTGTATCATGGTCACTTGGATGCTTTTGGGTATACAAGTACAAATTGGGCAGGTTGTATCATTGACAGACGTTCAAGTTCAGGTTATTTTACATTTGTTAGAGACAATCTTGTCACCTGACGATGCGAGAAATAGAATATTATTTCAAGAATATTGCGTCGAGACAAAAATAAAGTATGTCTCATAGCATTTGTGAGATGTGGATTTAGAATTTACTTTTAGGTTTAGGCTTTAAACAACAAAAACCAATGAAGTTGCATTGTGATAACGAGGCTTCAATTGACACTATTCACAATCCAGTTCAACATGATCAAGCTGCACATGTTGAAGTGCTTCAATATTTCATCTAAGAGAAATTGGAAGTTAGACTAACTTTTGTACTACTTGTTAATTCTGAAAATTAACTGGCAAATGTTCACAAATAAATAGTGTCCAACAAAGTGCATCATGGCTCACTTGACAAGCTGAGCATTAATGACATATATATACACCAACTTGAAAGTCTTCAATCATATAGTTTTATATTCTCTTGTAATTAGCATATATTTTGACTTCATACGAAGCAAAATTTTCAAATATTTTAGCATTTCGTTCGAAAGTCAAGGAATACTCTGCAGTATATTACATGTGTGGAATAAATATGTCTGTTTTTTGAAATTTTTATAATATTTTAAAATTCAAAAGAATATTAGTTTTCTAACCTAAAACACATGAAGTGCAAAAAAAAGCTGAAAATATGAAAAGGTGGGAAAGCTTAAATTATTTTAGGAATAGAATTATTGAAGGGTGAGAAAAGGCGGGAAAATGAACTGTCAGAGGGGAAGGGACAGACAGGTTTAATCGTGACAGCAGGGTGCCAGCCTGCCAGCTGAGGTGTGTCAGAAAGGCTTTAAAGTTTTATTTTTAAGTGAGACGGTGCGTGGGTGTTGTCAGTGTTCGAGATTTTTTAACGTGATCGACATACGAGATGGTGCATCATACGTTTTAATACAAATAAAAAAATATGTGTTAAAAAGTTAATAATTAAAAAAATAAATTTTTTCACTATTTACATAAAAACAAATTAGAGCTTAATTTTAGAACGGGTTTATTGCATGCAAAGAATTTTTTTTTTTTTTGGTTTTTTGATAGAATGTATGGTAAGAAGTTACACACGGTGCATATATTATTTTTACAAAAGTATTACTTACGCACTTATTTTTATTTTTCATTTATTTTTATTAATTTTTTTTTCAATTTAATCAATTTGATAGTTAAAATTTGAGAAAGGCATGTAGATAGCATTACTCTATCTTTTATGGCTCAATTACTAATTTGAAATGGCTTGACGAAGAATTGAATTAAGGAAAAATTGTATTGGAGTGGAGTAGGAATCAAATTTTTGTTAAAGTTGTTTACTATACTGTTTGAAATCAAAGTAAAAATAATGCAGATTACATATAAGCTATTTACTATTCCACTTGAATTAGAATAAAATTATGTAGATCATTGAAATGCCCTTGTACTAAATAAATTGTTGAGGAACTAAAAACATTAAATCTAGTCCTTCAACTTGACAAAATATGGTGCATTGGTCATTTCATCCAAATTCTGTCAACTTTTTCTCGTTAGTTTGATGACATGGTGCATGTGAGGTTCATAATAATAAAAAAAAACAAAATTTAGAAATACCAACACATGTAAACCAAAAAAAATTTACTTCCTTCTCTCTCTCTCTCTCGCCCTCTCTCCCTTGTCTTTCTTTGCTGCCAATCCACCCGTTTCTAAGAGCAAGTCCACCGGGAGTGGATAGCCTGACACCCAGCAGCCCAAATGCCTTGACACCTAGCCAATTCCCTCTAGCTGAGTCCAATTGCCTAGCTAACAACCTAAGCTGTCCCATAGGTCGGGCAAGAATGTGCTGAGCCAAGGCCCGACCTATGTGACCTCATGTTAACGCTAGCGTAACGTCATAGGCCATTTTAAAATTTTTTTGCGCCAAGGGCGTGAAAAACACGAGCGCGTTGCTGACAGCATTGCATAAGCGGGGCCCACTGTGCAGGCACACTATGGGGTTTCAGTGTGGAGACACGTGGCTCCTCTCTGTCCGTTGGATTTTCAACAGCTAGTTTTCTAGGTCGTTGGATTTCCAACGGTAAAAAAATTTTGAAATTTAAAATTAATGGCTACTGACATGGCACAATGAGGACCGTTCGATTTTTAGATCAACGGTCTAAATTTTTCAACCATAAAAAATTAAAAAATAAATAAATAAAATTTCAGAAATTAATAATAGTTTTTTATAAAGTGAGAAATTAAAAATAAAATAATTATTATTTATTCTATTATAATAAAAAATAATAATATTTTAATAAAATTGACTAGGCTATTTTTTTTTTTTTTTAGGAATGGAGATACATTTGATCTATTATTATTCATTTGGATTTATTACTGTTCATTGAGTGGATTAAATGAGCTGAGTGCTGACTCATTTTTTTCAAGGTAGACTTGCTATAAGATTCCCCACGCATCCAGTAGTTTATTGCAATTCTATTTATTTACCATCTTTCCTGGTTGTGAGACTACCATCTTCCCTGTTGTTGGGTCTTCATCAGAATTGTGAGCTGGGTCAAGTTTATTGTAGTTGGACTTAGATGACGAAGATTCAGTACCCTTGAAATAATCTTTACAAAATAATTCTTAATATAAAAAAAAGCCAAATATTTTTTGTGTTGAAAAGCTGAATCTACTGATATCTTATAACTTTAGCAGGCGGTTTTTAAACGTCAAATTATTTTGAGATGGGCGAAGGAAATTGTCAGACAACGTTGATTGACAAGTTATATGAAACGAGTAAATGTACCAGTGGAGGTGTGTCAGATCTTGAGTACTGCACTCAGTGGTGGGATAAAGCATGACAACATTTATTTTATTTTTTGGTTTTTTGGGTATATTGATCCCAAACGGACCGAAAGGCCCAAAAGAAAACAAACCAAAATCCCCAAAACGCCATAGAGAAATAGTAACACCTGATAATAATTCAAGGCCCAAGGTAGGACATCATGTGAGTGACCCTGCAAATCCAGTTCCAACATAACTCCCTAATTATGTCTATTATTAGTTCTCCCCTCCCTCCCATATTTGAGATGGATCATTCTGATAGATTTTTATTTTTTTTTAAAAAAAAGGAGACAACTGATAGCAAGTCACCGTTATTCATCATTTTCGGAGGCCGAAAAGACTCACAGAAGCATTTCAGCCTCTCCTGACCATAAGTCTAGCTTCCACACCAGCAACGGTTATCCACCATTGACTTCCGTATTTGAGATGTGATAGAGATTTTACTACCTGCAAAAGTAGGGATAAAAACACTTAAAAATACTTGCAAGAGTACAAGGTTGTGGTAGTATAGCAGCTCAAGCAAAGTCGTTCTCCACAGGGATTGAATGAATAATTTATGTTTAAAACCAACTCTTAATTAATTATTGAAAACAAAGTTTGGAAAATGTTGATTCTAGAATTTAATATAATAAAAACGAATTTTAAAATAAAACAATTAAAGAAATTAACAAGAGAACAATTTAAAGAAAGTCAATTTGTAAAACCTAGGGTTCAACCGTCACCCTAACAATTCTACGTAGTTCTTCTAATTCTTTATGAATTACACATGCATATTTCGAAGGTTAGGTTTTCCTAAAGTATGCCGTACTTGGAACCTCCAACATAGAATGTATATCTAACATGCAACCCATCCATGAGGTCCAAATCGAATATGAACATGTAAGACTCATTAAATTTTGTGAAAACTTTTTGAAAAATCATACAACCCTTAAGACGTATCGTCCATCCTAAGAAGTTACACATATTAACCATAAGAAGCCAACGCCAATTTCAGGGACAGCCATCCACCAAAATTGCATCAAATTACTTTTCTAAATATCCTAATGGTGGCCAATATCAAGACAAATAGATAGTTTAAAGCACAGTGATTAACAATTCAAAACTTGCATGCATAATATCATAAGCAAATTGAAAAGAAACTACATATTCTTGCTAAGGC